CATTTCAGTGCGAAGCTGGTCGATCAGGTCTACCTTCTCTTGAACCTGTGAAGTTGCGTTGTCAGTCACCCCGAGTAACTTCTCATTTTTAGCCTTAAAGATCTTTACCTTCTTGACCAGGTCGGTGTGCTCCCTCTTCAAGGACGAGGCCTCCTTCTGAGCCTTTTCCAGCTCGGCTTGGAGAATTGGGAGGTCCTTGAGGGCCTCGTCTTGTTGTTCACTAAGAGCCCTGTACTTGTCCTTCTTCCGGACTTGCTCTTTGAGCTCGAACTCGAGCTGGCTGATTTTTAAGCGGGACCAAAGGGAGCTTTCATGATGAAGCATTGAAGCCTGAAAAATAACAAAGTCATTAGAACATGTCTAAAGCTAAGAGAAATTCGCAAGGGATACGAATGATAAACCTCTTACCTAGTTAAGTGCCTGTTACATTTCATTGAAGAGGCTCGACGTTCCTATTTCATTCATCTTTGCTTGGTCCTCCTCGATCACCAGGTAATGAAGGTAGCTAGCCATGCCCACCAGAGCAGACAACGCCCGGGGGCCCGTTGGGATAATAAGAACGACCGTTCTCTTACGGTCGGGGTCAACACTCGGGGCAGGGAACTGTTTCACTAGTTTCGGGCTCGAGCTCAGCTCGCCCACTCTTGATGGAACATCCTTTTTTGGGACCTCCAGGTGACCCAGCCAGGAAAAATCCTCCAACGCGGCCATGTCCATGCCATCGAAGAATGTGTGGAGGGCATCATCTAGGTCCGGCGCCGTCTAGTTTGATTTCTCTTTGCTCGCTTGAGCCTCTTCGAGAATGGACAAAGTATAAGATGATGTCTCCACGATGTCGATGACACCAGCTAGCTCCTTCGGGACATGAGCGGCTTCTCGGGAGGGCGCGACCTCCATCTCTCCCTCTAGTTCTCGAGCTAGAGGGGGATCGACCTCGTGGTCACCTTTCTGGGTTGCCTCCTGCTCCCCTTCATTTAGGGTCGACTCATGAGCAATGAACTCAAGGTTGTTTTCCTTAGGATAGTCCCTCTTCTCTTTTGGATTTTTCGGACCCGGATGGTCACCCTCTTCTTCTTCACATAGGCATCAAGGGAGACTGAAGACTTCCTCCTATTTTTCTCCTTCTTTGCGGCAGCCCCGCTGGCCCGAAGCGCAGGGTTCAATGAGCGAGGACGTACATCCTCATCCAACGGCCTGAACTCGGTGGTCTTGGGCAAACCTGTGAAAAGGAAGAAGACTTAGCAAAATATAAGTGTCGTGTATGAATGTAATCATTCGGGAAAGAGCCTCACCATGGGAACGGGCCTCTCACATGCCCTTCGATAGCTCACGCCATGTGCGCTTGAGGTAGGGCATCTGTTTGCAGATCCCCTCGATCCACTTCTTGAAGTGAGGGACTGCATTAGGAACCTGGGCAACCGTTGCATGACGACAAACACATGCAATTAGAAATAGAATAAAAGAGAATGCCAAATACTTGAGAAGGAAAAGACTTACGGGATGCGTTTCACTTTTCGTGGAACGGTAGAAATTCGGAGGGGATGAGGTTTTTAGTTTTCACCCGAACGAACCTCACATGCCAGCCTCGATCTCGGTCCTTGTCGATGCTCGAGAACGAAACCTTGCTTTCTCGACAAACGAGCTTGATCAACCCCCTTCGAAAGATTCGGGGACTATATAGACGAAGCAGGGTCTAGGGTGAACCGAGGTGCTTCGGTGCTGTTCACAAAGTGTCGGAGGAGGATTACGATCCTCTAAAAGGACAGGTGAATCTTCCCAAGGCAGACCTCGTACCTTATGCGGAAGTCGAGGACTATGGGGTCCACCGAGGGGAGCATGAAGGGGTAAGTGTAAAAACTTAATTACCCCTCCACGTGAGTGCTGATGTCATCATTGGGTCCGGGGACAACTACCTCCTTGCCCTCCCAGTTACAGTCTACCCGGACTGTGGGTAGTGTCTCCTCAGTAATGGAGCATATGTACCTTTATGCTCCCTCACCTCAGTCCTGTTGACTGGAGGCCTTATCGACATTAAAGTCGTTCCTAATAGAGCAGCCCCCGGTACGAAGCTCTTCAAGGGAGGCTCCTAGGCCACCTCAGGAATGGTCACATCAGTGTCTATGTCCGGGTTGGAAGATGACGAAGCGGTTTGCTGAGGCACGTGTTTAGAAGTTTTTGCCATCGGGATCCGGGAAACATGAAGGTTTGAAGAAATAATATGAATATTTGAAGATGGGATGAAGATATGAAGGTGTGGGTTAAAGATTCAAAGAGAATGTATGAAGATTGAGGATGAAGATGTGAAGGTCTAAGGAGCAATGATGAAGATTTGAAGGAGTTAAAGGTAAGTAGAAAATTCGAGGATAAGTCGAAGAGTTCTGTAATTAGAAAGTGGAGAAGTGAAAAGGGGTCGGAGTTTTTATAGGGGAGAACAATCAATGCGTGACGTTTCCCATTCGAGGACAGTCAACCGGCGACTGACATGTGTCTGAAGTCTGAAAGACGCAGTTGATGGGACGTTTCATTGACCTAATAACTCGGTCCTAACGTACGAAAGGAAGGAACCGAGGTTCACATTTCACTTCCCGTCGCTTCGATAAATCTACCCTCCAAAAAACGAGAGGACTATCTGTGTATGGGTAAAATTGGGGGCAATCTCTACCCCGGATCCCTGATGAGAGAACGAAGGAGGAGCACAGATACGGGAGATTGTAATCGAGGTCAGAGACCCTTCGTATCGAGACCCTGGATGAATGAACGGTATATCCGACATTGGATATGGTAAAGCAATGTGACCCGGGCCGAGTGTAAGTTCTAGACATCGGGAGACACGATGAATGGTTATGCATGATGGATAGAGGGCCGTAATACTCGCCCTCAACTAGATATCACGACGCGAATCTCGCTCGATATCGATTATGGATCAATAATTACAGGGAAAAGAAGATTTTTACATCTTTTAGACTTGTACTAGGACTGCAATTCTCCTACTATATAAAGGGGAAGTTTTTCTTTAATGTGACACATTTTAACACCCAATTAAAAGCAATAAAAAATTACTTTTTCCTTCTAGCTACCGTTAAAAAATTTCTCACTTATTCTGTTCTTCATTCTCGACTGGGCTCGAATCGAGGGTCCAATCGAGGATAAGGTCGCTATTCAATCTAAGATCAGTCCTGATCCTAACAATGTGATTGGTTTGATCGCTTATTTCATCTTTAATTCATTTATATGTTAATCTTAATTTTTTGTGTTGAATTAAACCATGTATCCTTTAAATCGCGTATAAATTTATTTGTTACCTAATTACAGGGTAAACATATAGCTCTCATTTTGTATCTGTCAATAGTGGACTCCTTCAATGGTGGATAAGCTTCATCGAGTTCCCACCATTAATGAATCACTCNATATATGGTTCCTCAATTTATTAGAGTCAACGAGTTGGCAATTGGGAATTTCACCTGTTGTCAATGTGTCATTATGAACCCGTATTTAGTTTTCCCACCTTTTTATCGTCAGCCGCAATTCCCCAATTAGAAATTGAAAATTTCAACGTCACGTTGATGCTTATTTTTATTGGGTCAAAATTATCCCCTATTGTTTGGTATATGATTTATATTTACTCTCCCGCCATGTATCAATCCAATTTACACCCTACATCCATCTATTAATCCAATATATCATAGTGTATATTTTTGGTCTGATAGATAGATGTAGGGTGTATTTTTGGACTGATAGATGCCGGAGGATAAATGTAAATCATTTATCAAATAATAAGGGATAATTTTGACCCATTTTTGTATTTTTATTAATAACTCCATTCTGGATCAATATTTTGTTTTCCTGCCTGTTATTGTCAGCCGAAATTCTCGAAGTAGATATTAAAAAATAAATAAATCAACTCCACATTGACGCTTGTTCTAATTTGTTTGGTATAATTTAATCAGGCGTGAAATTTAAGAAAAACATAAAGAAATTGATAACTTGCGATCTTAAATACATTATATTTGTATGGTTATAAAACTTTTAAAATTTGTGATTTTAAGCATGCCATAACATTTATATGGCTATAGAAGCCTTTTATTAAGGCTAAAACGAGAAGTTTGAAGTTAATTGCTTTCAAATATAAAAATGCTTCATTCTTTTTAGAACAAATTAATAAGAAAATAATGTCAAACAAATTAGGTTAGAGGAATAATTAAATTTCTTAGTCAACTTGGACTTGGTGAATACATACAATAATTTTTTCAACAATAGGGACTACTTATTTACCTTCTTATTTTTCTCTATTTCTGTGGATGCCTATAGAGGAATATGCAGCTAAACCTAATTTAAGCAAAAGGGAAATCTCCAAATGCATTGCTAAGGTATGCTTAACCAAGAATGAAAAAACATGCACTAGTTGTTTTATGCTAATAGGTGCTACTTACACTTACACTTGCTAACTACTTGTATACAATTTTTATGAACTTCAAAACCAAGTTTGCAAACTCAATTTTTTGGAAACTTCAAAACAAATGCCAAGTTTCATTCCATTTTGGAGTAGTAGTAGACAATTTGAATTTAGTCAGCTGATTCATAGTATATTCCTTTCTGAGGGCTTTCACTTTTTGCTTTTGTTAGCTGTATATAGATATGTACAAATGAAATTGCTGATCTAATAGCCTCTAGATCACTTCTGTTTAAAGACATGTAAAAATGAAATTGCTGACCTTATATCACTTCTGTTTTAGCTGATGTACATTTACCACTTTGTTTTCATTGTCTGTGTATGAGAAATCCATGCAAACAGAGTCAAACTAGTTTCATCATCAACACCTTGAATTTGCCACATTTGCTAGCTATGTGGCATGGTTTTGGTTTGATGTGTCACTTGATACATGATTTCAGTCCCCAAAACCATGAGAGAACCAAACATAAAAAAAGAGAGATCATCTATATTCTTTTAGCTTTAGCTACTTCTTCTCTATCAAAGTTGTCAAGGAATTGGAAAACCAAGAATGGCCCAAGAAAAATTGAAATTTCTTCTAGGAACTTGGTTGCTTATACTCTACTTTTTCTCAAGTGTTTTTGGTAGCAATAATACTCAAGATAATACTATTCAAGATACTTATGGAGATGGCACATCACCACAAAATGCTTGTGCAAATTGTACAATTTGTCCATATCCTTGCCATCCCCAACAACCACCCCCACCCCCTTCTGGTTACCAAAGCTATGGTGTTCCACCACCACCTTCTGGTGTTCCACCACCACCACCACTACCACCTAGTACTGGTTATGGCAATTGCCCGCCAGCTACTCCGGTTATTCCGTGCTGTCCAGTACAGTATAATTATGGACCTCCCCCTCCTTATTACTATACTGGTTCATCAATCAAGCTCTTTGCTTGTGAATGGATTTCTGCCATTTTTTCCTTTTTCTCCATTATGTTCTTTGTAATTTGAAGCTTGAAGAGGATTTCAAGTTCTAAAGCTCATTAATGCTTTCCTATGGACTTGGCTATGACGCAAGTAGAGATATTCCTCTCTTGTTGAGGAAGATATCAGTTTGATAAAATATCTAACGTCTTGTTACAAAAGTTAATATTTCTTATTTTCAAGAATATTTCTTTGTTGTGGGCAAGTTATATTGAACTATATATGGTCTAATGCTTTTCTTTTATGTATCCTTTTAATTGATCTATGGTATATTTCATGTCTCAACTGTTTAGTAGATAGGCTAGGCAAACTTTTTGCCCTTTTATAGCCTGTTTGGTCAAGCTTTAGGAAGAAAAAAAAAGTGCATTTAAGGAGAAGCAGAAACAGTTTTGGAAAAGCAAAAAAAAATATTTTCTCTCCAAATTAAAAGCACTTTTTTGAAAAGCACTTTTGAGGAAAATACACTTTGAAGCAGTTTTTAAAAGTTTGGTCAAACACTAATTACTGCTCAGAAGTACTTTTGAGAAAAAATCACTTCTCAAAATAAGCTAATTTTTGCTTCTTGACCAAACAGGCTATTAATGTGGTTGGAGCACATTAAAAGTCTACTTTTGGCTAAGTGAGTTCTACTCAAAATGGTGGCAGTTGTATGGAATCTGGTATCTGGCTACCTATGTTCATATTTTTCCTTGAAGTTATTTCTTTTGCTAATAACCGTGAAATATTACCATAACAGACAACATTAATATACCTAAAGATCTAATGTCTTGGCCACCTTCTCCTACGCTTACTTTAGATCTTGAGTAAGGATTGCGTAGTGTCTAGATGCTGGAGATCAGGTCCAAACCCAATCAATAATGGCCTTCCGCAACTCAACAGACCATGTACATTCAACAAACAAATGTTGGATGTCACATAGACAACACCTAGCTAGCATTATCACCTCTTATCAATCTAGCTATGGTTAGTAACTTTCCATGCACAGCTAGCCACAATATGAATCTATGTTGCCGCATTAAGATTATACTTCACACTAAATTAGCTATTTCAAACACAGACCAATCACCTAGTATAGCTAGACTACCAGGAGGATATTACTAGTAAGTCACAACAAACATCGAATATGTTATTTATAACCTTACTCAAGTAAAAGCGAGAGAGGCATGCAAGCATTGAGAGTGAAGCGATCTGGTATTAATTACATGTACTTTCCGTAATTGACAAAAAGTTGATCGTGCACTTGGTCTGTTAATCACAGCCTATCAATTCGTTCCACACCTATATACTTTTCTCTTACCTATTTTTGGTTCTGCCAAAAGTAAGATCAGTCTTTGCTTAGATGTTTTAATAACAATTTTTAAATCATTATTTCATGACCAACATTTAGTTAGTACACCTAAAAATTATTTTTTGTTTTGTATTAATATCCACATGTTTTTCAATGATAATGAAGTATTTAATTATTTATTTACATAATCGACATCAATTTTATAGCGGAAAAGAGCTAAATATACTCATGTACTATCAAAAAATATTTAAATATACCTCTCGTTATACATTGAGTCCATATATATCCTTGTTGTTATATTATTGGTTCAAATATATCCTTTTTTTCGTTAAGTTTGTCTAATTTAGTGGACATCTAATCCTACGTGGCACGGACATTTGATGAGGTGGATGCTATGTGGCTTGCCACCTCAGCGCTCCTAACCCATTTTACCTCTCCCTTCTATTGTTTTTCCATCATTAAAATTTCCTTCCCCTCCACCACTATTGTCACCCTTACCACTACCATGAAAAATATTCTATTTTAAATTTTAGTCTTTTATATTTGGATTAGGGGCGCTGAAGTGGCATGCCATACGGCATCTACCTTATCAAATATTAGTGTCATATAAGATTGGATGTCCACACTAGACAAACTTAACAGAAGTATGGTATATTTGAACCAATAATATTACGACAGAGATATATTTGGACCCAAAGTATATTGAATGATATATTTAAATATTTTCTCTTAATACATGAATATATTTGGTCCTTTGCCCATTTTGTAGTCAAAGCTAAAAAGAGTACATCTTCTTGTGTCCTTTTAATTTTATGTTCAACACTTGAAATATGGGTTATTCTATACGGAGTATCTTAGCTTGTTCTGTAACGTTTTCCTTTGAAATTCAGATGCAGAGTCACTTTAATACATACTATTAGAATGTATTGTCTCAAAAATGTACGGGATGTTTTCTTACTTTAATTTTTTTTTATCTAAATAAATCGAACAATTATGAAAAAGAAAACAGAGACTAGCTTAAGGAAGAAAAAAAATATTTGTCACAAAAAATTATACCCAGTTAACTAGACTTTGGTGTATGACAAAAACGAGAAAACAAAAAGAAAATAACAGAAGAGACAAATTCTAAAAAATCCACTAAGTATGTACCAACTAGTCATCAATGTGTGAAATTTATTTTCGGTCCGCGAGTTATTATTTTTTTGAGCGAATAATATGAGTTGACCCATATCTGACCCGCTTTTAGTGGATAAGGTATCCAACTCATTTCTGAGCGGATATTATGGGCGAATACTTGTAAATTTTATCCATTTTGCCACATCTAGCTGCAATAATACAGGACTTCACAAACATATATTCACTAAGCATCACACATCCATACCTCCATCTAGGATGCATTTCAAAGATACAAAGACAATTGGTGAAGGTTATTGGGCAAGTCCTTAATGCATGGTAGACATTATTGCAAGGACCAAGATTCTTCTGTAATGATCCGACCAATCGTTTTGAGCATTAGCAATCCGTTTGGTAGTTTGAGATCTTGAGTAATTTCATATGATGCGTTATGACTTGGGTGTAGGATCGATTTTAGTTTTTGAGTAGTTGGGGATTGATTTGGAAGAATGACTTTCAATTTGGAAGCTTTAAGTTGAAAAATTTGACCAAGTTTGACTTTTGTGTATTTGTCCTCGGATCAGAGTTTTGATGGTTTCATTAGGTTCGGATGATGACTTTGGACTTGGGCGTATGCCCGGATTTGCATTTGGATATTTTTAAAAGGTTTTGGCTCTAATTGACGAAAGTTGGCAATTTGAAGGTTTGAAAAGTTCATAGGTTTGATCGGGAGTTGACTTCGATGTTATTGGTTCAAATTTTTGTTCCGAGAGTTGAAAATGGGTCGTTATATCATTTGAAACTTGTGTGTAAATTTTGAGGTGCTTCCGAGTTGTTTGGACGTGTCCGGCGTAAGTTTGGAATTTGAAATTTTGAAATAGTTCAGTAAGCTTGAATTGAGGTGCGATTCGTGATTTTGATATTATTTTGTGTGGTTTGAGGCCTCGAGTAGGTCTATCGTATGTTTTAGAACTTATTGGTATATTCAGACGGGCTCCCCAGGGGCTCGGGTGAGTTTAAGGATTGTTTTAGACCATTTTCTTTAATGTTTGATTGCTGGGTTTTCTCTGTTTTCTGGTGCTGAGGGTGTATATCAGGATTGCGTGAAGAGTGTCACGATCGCGCATTGTACTAGGAACCGGCTGGAGGTCTATGCATCACGTTCGCGACTGGTGGATTTCGCGGAGCACTAGAATTGTTGTTCTTAGCATTCACGTATAGTGAATCGCGTGCGTGATGTGTTGGGGGTCAGAGATCAGCGCGCTCGTGACTGTTCATCCACGTTCGCGGAGCTTGGGGCCAGTTGGCCATCACATTCACGTGCGTCAGGCCGCTTTCGCGAATAATTTCCTAAGGCAGTGTGTCTTTTGGGCATCGCGATCGCGAGCGTACAACCTTAGCCGCGTAAGGTACTACCGCACAATGCATATAAGATATTATTTTAAGACTTGGAACCCATTTTACCATATTTTTAGATTGGGAGCTCGGATTTGGGCGATTTTAGAGGGGACTTTCACTACTTGGGTTGGGATACATATTTTTTACTCGGATTTGATTATTATACATGATTCCATCTTTGATTTTGGCATTTGATTGATGAATCTAAAAGAGAAATTTGGGATTTTTGTCAAAACTTTTCTAAAGTAAATAATTGAATTTTTAGCATCAATTCAGATCCAGATTTTGATGAAACTAGTATGGTTGGACTCGTATTAGAATGAGTTATCGAAATTTGTGAGTTTTGTCGGTTTCAAGGTGTGTGCCCAGGTTGACTTTGTGATTAACTTTGAGTATTTGATTAAAGATTCGATCTTTATCGTTTGGGTTTATTTCCTATGGCATTATTTGATGTTTTTGAGTTACTTTTGGCTAGATTCGAGTCATTCGGAGGTCGATTCACGCAGGATGACATTTCTAGAGTATTGTTTTGGCTTTCTTGAGGTAAGTATCTTACCTAAACTTGGTTGAGGCACTAGTTGCCTGAGTTATTTGTGATAGCTATGGCCTATGGGTGGCGCACATGTGAGGGGTTGAGCCCATGTGCGTGCACCGAGTTATTATTCATGCTCAGGGTAGTGCTTAGGCTATGATATGTCTCGAATTGATTGGTAAGCTTCATGCTGTGATGTTTCTTATATTTGTACTCCTTTTTGTACTCTATGTAACCATTTTTGAGGTTACATAGAGGTTAATCTCCTGATTGAACTTGATAATTGCTACTTTCGTGATGTAATTGCCTGGTTTGAGCTATGGTAGCACACTTCGCACATGCATACACCTTATCATGTCACTTACACCAGTCCATGAGTATGAAATTTGATATCCATTGTTCTTGTACATGTATTCTTGTGTATCTGCTTTCTGTGTGATATGTATTGAACAGGTAGCACGTGAACATGCCATGCGGTTGTGATTATTAGCACGTGAGTTGTCTGTGTGCTTGAGGTATGATAGCACGTGAGTTGTTCATGCCAATTCGAGATACTGTTGTTATTGGCACGTAAGTTGTCCGTGCAGCACATGTGTTGTCTGTGCGGTTGATATATTATTGGCACGTGAGTTGTCCGTGCAGATCCGAGATATTATTGTTATTGGCACATGAGTTATCTGTGCAACACGTGAGTTG